TCTCTTGATGGCATCTCTTGGCATGATCCGTGTGCAGAATCTCTGGGTAGGGTGTCTTGGTAGGATCTCTTGGTAACAATTGTGCGCAGGATCCATGAGAGGATTCTCCATATACAAAAGTTCTTCGTCCAGGATCTCTGGAGAGCACCCTCTATAAGACCTCTTGCAAGAGAATCTTTGCAGGTCCTCTGACCGATGTTCAAGATTCGCACCGCGCCGCAACAAGAGCGATCCCGCCTATCCAGAATCCGCGGAGGGTTCACTTTCAATGTTCAAAATGTGCAGCGCGCCACAGCCGCAGCGATTTCACGCGCCCAATTTCCGCACAGGGCTGATTTCGATGTTGCAACTTTGGCACCGCCACAGAGAGAGCACTGCACCACGCCCAGAGTCCGCCGAGGGTGCGCCAATGATCCATTTCTGGAGCTTGGGCGGCGCCGCAGGGAGAGCGCACCCAAAACCGACGGGTGTCCTTAACTGCAGGCTCACCATGTCCGCTAACATTGTTAATGGACAGGAGGGTAATTTCAGGAGCAAATTAGCAAGGGCTAGTGACGCTTGAAGGTGGCCAGGGTCGTCGATCAATGCGTTGCTTTGGCTTGGGCCAGGGTTGGCTTCCTTTCATCCGTGCCAATGCTGTTTGTCGGTGGTGCGCTGTTGGCAGAATTGGACATTCGAAATTCGGCCACGGGTTGGGGTGCAGGACAAAGAGAACCGGCCCGTGAACGTCGGCGTCAAAGGCACACCGTGCGCAGGGGGCGGGGCTTGCTACAATGCCGTGACTTGCAGTCTGTCCGAGTGCCCAGATTTGCCATGTGCTGCTCCGGATGGGTTCTGACTCGTCTTGTGTTAGTGGGCTCTGGTGCAACAAACTTGCCAAGGCTTTTTGCGTGTTCACCTTGGAGGAACCGTTGCAGGTTTACTCCCTACCCTTCCAAAGGCATCCACAAAGGATTGTGCTGTTTTGGGTCCTACACTTTGGACCCTCAGAAATGGCGGGCTTTGTAGTTCCCTTCAAAGCCCAAAGGATCCAGTTGTTTAGTTTTGTTTGGCAAACCACTTGCACACGATTTTTCACGTTTGCCTCATGAGCTGCAAGATCTGGCAAGTGCTAGCTTTGAGGACAGCGGGTTGTGGCCAAATCAGCCACAAGCCAAAACGCACAAGTATGTGAAGGTTAGTCAGGGACAGTCGCGATGAATGGGTGCGGCGTGGCTCAGGTGCTGATAAGTATAAAACAACACCCAAACATTGGAACTTTCAGGTACAAACCATGTTGTTCGTGGTTCACGAGCCCAAGGTCTCCATGCCTTTGTCTTCTACAGATTTTGCGGATATATGCATATATACCAATGTCTCTGTGTGTATAAACAGACTCCTCTCCATTTCTTGAAGCACACGCAGACCCAAGGAACCCATGCAGGTTCCCCAAATCCCAGCCTTCCCCAGCTTAGCGGCCAGGCGAGGAAAAGGGGCAGCTAGGCTGCAGTTGACCGGTCGATCAAGGGACAATCCTTGTTTATGATTCTTACTACTATCATAACATGATCATTGTTGGTAGCTTCTTTTTTTTCATTATTCTATGTTGACTTCTTGTGTACATATATCATCTCCACTACTTGATCCACTGTCATTGTCTTGGAAACCCCTCGGGCTTTCCGTGCAAAGCAAAATCGAATATATACCCTTTTTTTTTTTCTCCGAAGGTACATGTTTTTTTGTGGTTTGAAAGGGACACCAAAAGGAACACCAATTTGGGGGTCTTTTATTTTAGGGACACACCCATATTATATCTGTAGAAAGTCCTTTAAACTGGGGACATAGCCTGTACATAACCGGTGCAGTATATAAGATTTACACAAGGGGTATAAAGGGGTATATGATGGCATATTGTTATATGTTCCCTTTGGGCACAGCCTCATAGTGTCCACATTCCAAAGCAGCCTCTGGTTTCCAAGCGCCCAGTCACCGGTACGAACGCACCCCTCGGCGAATCATTGCAGTTGGGTGACACGTGGCACAGTTCTCCCTTTATTTATTGTAGTCATTCCCTTTGCTCACCCACTGCTGGAAATTGTGCCTAGTTTTACCCTACCTTCGGGACTCCTCGCCAGAGCGAAGTCCAGCCGCGCTTTTGGTTTCCCTTTGTCTCAGGAAGACGGTGGAGCAGACCTACCAGAAGAAGAGCCAGTTGGAGCAGGGAGCCCCAGCGAGTTGATGAGCACAATGGAGGTAGAACCACACGGGTCCCTGTGCATGGACACAATCTTGCAGCTGGGATTTGTGGTTTATCACCATCCCAACTGCTGCAGGATTTTGCCCATCCACCACATATATACGTGTCTGGTGATTTGAAAAATGACCGTTTTGGGGCCATTGTTGTCGAGAAGGGTGATGTTGAAGAGGCAAAGTCCGATAATTTTGCTGACAGGCAAAACACATATATATATATATATGCATATGTAAAAGATATGAGAGTTTCAACTCCATGGTACATATGCGCCCCCCGCCTCAAAAACACCAAAGACTCGGAGGGGATATCTATGCAAGCCAAAGCGCCAATTGGCAGGGCTGTACACGTCGGCTAACAGGGGCTGAGGTTAAGTCCAGAGCGGCGGGTGCGTCAGGGTGCTTGATGATATGCTGCTGCTGAAAGCATTCGAGTTTTAGGCTGGCTGCCGCCGCCAGCTTTACGACCCACTGCCCCGCCCAAAACTACCTACTGCGCTTTGGGTCATGGTTGCCCAAGAAGCTGCTCCGTCGACAATGTCAGGACAAGTCTCAGCAGGTTGTGACATGAATTGGCTTCGCCACATGGTCGAAAGATCTCTGTCTCTGTGTGATGATGACGTATCGATATTGCTCTCCAACTCAGAGTTGGAATGAAAGTGACTTGCGTGACGCATATATATTATATATATACACGCATAACACGCGCCTTCAACACACCTGGCTGCATGGCCCCTTGTACATCGTGCGGGCTAGCAACTTGTGCCTCGCAGTGTAAGTATATGTATCCCAGTCGGCTCATGCGAGCCCTTTGCTGTTACTTGCGTCAGAATCTTGACGGGTCAGATCTACTGTACAACGGTGCATTTCAGGACAGCGCCCTATCGCGCAGCCGGCCTTCACCGAATCCTGCTTCCTGCTGTGAGCTTATTCAGTGTTTGCGGCCGTTTGGGCTGCCTTTGCAAGCGTGCATGGTGGTTGGCACGCGGATGGTCGTTGGCTTTAGGATCCCTATAAGAAGAATTTGACAACACAGCGCCTGCTCATTTGACCATCCCAACGTAACAAGGGCGTTGTCGCCACATCTGGCTTGGCCAAAGCTGTATCTGACACGCATATTCTTCCCTGATGAAAGTCAGCGTGGGGTAGAGGCAGCACGGCGGCGCTAACTTGATGGGCTTAGGGCTGCCAGGCCTCATGCTGGCATCTCTTCACTAGTGTGCAGACGTTCTCCAGCATTTGCACGCGTGTAGTTCTGCGAAGCCATACCAGGAAGGAAGCGCCGCTGATATGGCTGTTGGGTGCGTATGTGCGCATGGGCCATACCAAAGGAGGTCCAAGGATTGGCGAGCATCGCATTGCTCATTGCTGCCTTGGTGGAATCCGATTCGCTGAATTCACTGTGCTGCCACCCGTTGCGATTAAGCAGGGTCTATGCGTCTACACGCCCAAGAGTTGGCCCGCTTAGACCCTGCTTAAAAGCTCCATGAATGCAGCTGACGCTCTGATGCACATTTTTTTGGTGGGTGTGTGCGATTGCATGCAGTTTCCATGGCTTCAGCGGTATTCCTCTGGACATAGGGTTGTTTCCAGGTGGCCGAAAGTGGCGCTCGCCTTCATCTCCGGCTCAATAGCGGCATCAACCCCCACAATGGAAGTACGCTAAGTCTCTGTGTGCTGAGCCATGCTTGGAGATGAGTTTGTGCGGGTTTTCACCTGTTGCCCGACATGTCGTATTTTACTGGGGCTTGCATCAGGTAACCCTTAGTTGTTTCTTTGGATGGATTTGAACCCTGGTTCTTGTGAACACCTCCAAAGCACCAGGGAAGCTGACAGGCGGAAGTCTCACAGTTTTAGAGGCACCGGGTCCCAGGCACATCCTTTTGCGGCCGGACTCCTACGCAAGGGGCCCCAGGATGCCACTTCTCCCGGACCTCCAGTCAGTTGTTGCCTTCGTGTTTCGTTTTGGATGGGGGCGGGGCGGGGGGTTGGGCTCCCTTTAAGCGCTTTAAGATGAACTACCAAAGGGTCCCTGCTTGATCGGTCAGCTTGGCTGGGTGGATTGCTCGCTTGGCTTGCTTACTTGGCTTAGCTTTGCTTAGCTCTGCTTTTCTTTGCCATGCCTTGCCTTGCCTTGCCTTGCCTTGCCTTGCCTTGCCTTGTGTTGCCTTGCCTTGCCTGCCTGCCTGCTTGCTTGCCTGTCCAAGGTGAAGCTTATTGTCAGGTATTTTGTTCGCCTGTGAACCCAGGTTGGCTCCACTGAGCGCCAGAGCCAGGAGCATTTCGTCTTTGACGCGGGAGCCTCAGGATTGCTGGAGATCGCGGAAGCTTCTGCCTGCGGCTGAGGCTTCGGCGCTCTCTTACCACCTTTCCTTTCGATTTTGCCCCTTTTTGGTGGATCTCTTCCTCGAATTCCAACGAGCTCACCAACAATAAGGCGACCTATGATGAAGGTCCTTTACGACCTGTACTTGAGGGTTCCGATTCCCAGTTTGTGGAGTGGCCTCAACACTTTGAGGGTCGCGGGGGTGGGGGCGCCCGGTCATTCGATTCCAGCCCTAGTTGCGCATAGGCGTCTTTTGCTTGCTGCATGTCGCAACTGCGTGCCTGCGCGCTCGCGCGCTTCTGTGCCGCTGTCCTGCTGCGTTTTTTGTTTTTGTTTCTCTCTCTTTCTCTCTCTCTCTCTCTCTTTTCCGCTGTGTGTCTCTGTGGGCCTGTGATTCTGTGCCTTTGTGTCTGCATATGTCTCTGAGTGCCTGTGGACGTGTGCAATGTCTCATGTGCGCTATTGATCGTTCGCAGTTTGCGAGTTATAGACAGCCATCCTGGAGGTTAGCGTCAATTTAGATGGTAAGGACGACAGAAGTCCTCCTTGCTTTCCCCCTTCACGATGAAGATCACATATTAGTTTCTCCACATGGGCCACCGTTTTGCGGTCCAACAATTTCATAGCCAGCGCCAGTGCACGCCAAGGACTCGCATGGAAGGATGGTGAAGAGGACGCTGGAGCTGCTGGGCTCAACCCGATGTAAGCGCCTAGTCGATCGGACAGTCCTCGAGCATATGGGTGTGGGTCAAACATAGGTACCCAAAATGGGGCCTGGTAAATGGAAACATGGACTAAAACCTGCGGTCTCCTGGTGGTTTGATTTTGACCCATACCCATATGAGCTCAAAGCAATGACCAAACCTTAAGGAACAATGCATTATACGTATACATATATATATATATATGTATATCTATATATATATATATATATTGTATAGGTATATGTACTGATTATTTGTTCGTCCGCCCACAGACGCTCTTTTTCTGCCTATACATGCAAGGGTTCATGCTAATCTTCTCTGTATTGATGATCAGCCATGCTCTCGATTTGCGCGTGTCATTCAAAAAGGTGGGCCTCATGACGGGCCTATTTCAGCCTCAAGCAGTTTGAAGAAAGGTTCAACATTGGCGTTGGGTCCTTTTGCTTTCCTTTTCCAGGGGTCAAACTTCAGCCATTGTGGCAGAATCTTGAGGCACGCTGAAAGTCTATAGTCAGAGGGACACGGGGAACTGTGCACAAAACTAAGGGACAGAACCCGTGCCTCATATGCAGCTGTAAGATGACCCACTTTTGTCGATGCCTGATGCAATGCTCCAGCAGTACAAAAAGCCAACAGAGAGGGTATGACGGTTGTCTCCAGCAATCCACACCTATTTTCTCCCAACAGCTGGAAGCTTTGGTCCAAAGAAGCTCTGCGGTTCGGGGCAGCTTTCAAGGAGGGTTCCTGCTGGTTCGAGGGCGTTCCAGGTGTTGGGGATACCAAGGTGTCTTCTTTTTGAGGGTACCCTATTTGGGATTGGTTGCAAGGAAATCAAAGGAACAAACACCTTTGCTTTAGGGTGCCGCTATTTAGATACAAACCTATTTGGGCTTACTTTGGTCAACTCTTGGCACGCTCGTGTCTTCGATTCCGTGAGTGGCGCCGAGGTATGTCCCTGCTTTGTACAAAATCTTTGACGAGATCCTGGCCCTCCCGGCTTGGCTTACTCTCGTACAGATTTACAACAACTCGGTAACTCGGGTTTATAATATGAAAGGCACATTGAGTTTGAAAACTCTACATATCTACACATGGAACTCTTGAACATGCTTCATTTTCAGAAACCCCCTCGTGGCCATTTTGGTTTCCATATTAGCTTTGCAGGGGAGGAATTTTGTTTGCCCATTTGGGTCAAGCGTAGGCTGTTTCGGTTTGGAAGTCAATGGCTTCAGCTCTCGAATTTCCCCGGAAAAGGAGCCACTTGGGTGGAGCGAGAAGCATTGGTTTCAATACAAGTGGGACCCGAGTTTGAAGATGCAACCAACCTGAAATCCCGCCAGTTGGTCAAGGGCAATGGCCGCGTCCATGAGTTGCACAATAGGTCGAATCCTAGCTAACCTTCGTCGCTTGAAAGACTTTGGCGTTGTCCGAGCAGGCTGGGCCCTTGAATCCGTCCTCCGCTCTTATGGTGCCTGGTGTACCAAAAGGATTGAGAAAATCGGGATCTCATTTGGAACGTGGCCACACGTTCTCGACACGCCAGGTCAATGCCGCGGACAACCTGATCCGGGATCCTACCCAGGATACCATCCGCATCGAGGCCTTTGGGAGACGGCAGAGGTTGTTGGGGGTGTGTCGGCAGGGAGAGGCAATTTTGCTGAGAGCTTTTGTTAGGTGGGTTGTATGCTTGACAATATGTATATATAAGTACATACATTCATACATTTATATGGTTTCGTACATGTATATATGTTCCAGGCCATGGACCCCGTGGTTGGGGTGTGGTTTGGGTTGGTGTAGTGTTGTTTTAGGGTGGGTATAGGGTTAATTTAGGTTTGGTTTAGGGTTGGCTTAGGGTTGGTTTAGGGTTTGCTTAGGGTTGGTTTAGCGTTGGTTTACGGTGGGTTTAGGCTTGGCTTCGGGCTGGTTTAGGGTTGGTTTAGGGTTGGTTTAGGGTTGGTTTAGGGTGGGTATAGGGTTAATTTAGGTTTGGTTTAGGGTTGGCTTAGGGTTGGTTTAGGGTTGGTCTACGGGGGGTTTAGGCTTGGCTTAGAGTTGGTTTGGGCTGGTTTAGGGTTGGTTTAGGGTTGGTTTAGGGTTGGTTTAGGGTTGGTTTAGGGTGGATATAGGGTTGGTTTAGGGTTGGTTTAGGGGTTGGTTTAGGGTTGGTTTGCGGTGGGTTTAGGGCGGGTTTAGGGTTGGCTTGGGGTTGGTTTAGGATTGGTGTCGTGTTGTTTTAGGGTGGGTATAGGGTTAATTTAGGTTTGGTTTAGGGTTGGCTTAGGGTTGGTTTAGGGTTTGCTTAGGGTTGGTTTAGCGTTGGTTTACGGTGGGTTTAGGCTTGGCTTCGGGCTGGTTTAGGGTTGGTTTAGGGTTGGTTTAGGGTTGGTTTAGGGTGGGTATAGGGTTAATTTAGGTTTGGTTTAGGGTTGGCTTAGGGTTGGTTTAGGGTTGGTCTACGGGGGGTTTAGGCTTGGCTTAGAGTTGGTTTGGGCTGGTTTAGGGTTGGTTTAGGGTTGGTTTAGGGTTGGTTTAGGGTGGATATAGGGTTGGTTTAGGGTTGGTTTAGGGGTTGGTTTAGGGTTGGTTTGCGGTGGGTTTAGGGCGGGTTTAGGGTTGGCTTGGGGTTGGTTTAGGATTGGTTTAGGTTTAGGGTTGAGGGTTAGTGTAGGATTGGTTTAGGCTTGGCTCAGAGTTTGTTTGGGCTGGTTTAGGTTTTGGTTTAGGGTTGGTTTGCGGTGGGTTTAGGGCGGGTTTAGGGTTGGCTTGGGGTTGGTTTAGGATTGGTTTAGGTTTAGGGTTGAGGGTTAGTGTAGGATTGGTTTAGGCTTGGCTCAGAGTTTGTTTGGGCTGGTTTAGGTTTTGGTTTAGGGTTGGTTTGCGGTGGGTTTAGGGCGGGTTTAGG